TATCCTGAGGAATTCCTTTTCAAAGGATTTACTGGGCACAAATAAAACATTTCAAAGTTCAAGTCTATTCCTTTAATTTCAGGATTATCACTAATTTGAGCTACTGCCTTCCAAAACTGGAAGGACAAACTTCTGGCAGTGCATTTGATGAATGGCGTAGAAAAATGCAGATTGTGCCCTTCATTTGAAGAAGCCTTTCTGTCTGAATGGAGCACTGTATTTCACATCCTAATAACCATTTATTAGTACAGGATTTAAGGAAAGTTAGCTTTTCAGTTCTGTATAAACCTTTCTATTCATTGAGGTTTCATGAGGTAGCCAAGTGATTTTTCTACCACTGACTGATTCCCAGCCACTCTAATGAGCAAATGTTCCTCCTGAGACTCAGCTCTCCCCTTGCACATGATGATTCACTGGACACCCAGTGAATTTAATTTTGAACTGGACTGAAATAATTTTACCATTCTACAAGTCCTTGAACAACCAACCCAATCTAAGTGCACCCACTTCAATCAGATGTGCTCCTGGTGTCCCTGCAGACCGAAATGTTTCCATGGCTGCAGCTGGGATTGTGCCAGCTGCTTTTGGGAGCAGACTTGCACAGGCACAGACCAGACCCCTTCAGGGTCTGAAATTTGTAACCAGCAGTTAATGGAAACAGTATGGGTTTCTCATCATAAAGTTTGCACGATGGAAACATCTGGATGTCCTGAGTTATCCTTTATCAGCGAAGCAGACAGTTCTCCCAAATAGTTTTATTAAAGTTTATCTCTCTCTGACTGTTTGTGAATAGTGTTTAGTTTAAGATATTCAGTGCCTCCATTATTATTGTAGAATCACAGCTATAAGCAAATGCACCTATAAATCAACTGCTGGCTTGTCAGAAAAAAACAGATCTGCCTGGAACACCAGCAGGCAATGGAAGGAACTGTTTCCATAAGTTTTCACTGGTATCTGACCTATATTCTGGTCTTGACTTGCCAGAGACCATGTTAAAGTTTTCTCTCCATAGAAAACATAATTAATACGAGTAATAAAAAGTGTTGATTCTTTCATGTTTTCTATTATGTAAAAACACATTTCCTATAGTAATATTAAGAACTGCCATGTGCTTATTCAAAAATAAAGAATTAACACTTACCTTCAGGATTTTTTTTTCTCAGACTCAAAAAATGCTGTCCTCATGTATGTGAACACAGGAATTCTCTTCTACAAGACACGCCTTTGAAGGGTTGACACATGCCCTAAATCAGATTTTAAGATTCAAATGTTAATATGTGTACCTGCAAAGCAATGCTGTAGCTAAAATACTTTTATCATTTTTCATAGAAGTTACTGGAAGATTTTTTTGTATCTGTGCTAGTAAAGCAATAAAATGGAGGGAGAAATGTTTTGGATTTTTTTTTACTATTACTCACGCTATATGAATCATATTATTTAAATTAAGAGGTGTTAGAAGGGTCTAAGGCCACAATCCCATTGATTTTTATGCCGTTCCAAAGATTTTTTTGGTGGAAGAAGTTGGAATCAATTTCTTAAATCTGTAATAAATTACCCAGGAGCTCTTTCTTTGGTTTTCTTCCACCGCAGTACAGACAGCTCTTTGTCTCCTTGATCAGACAGGCAGCCTGCAAAGAGCCATTTCAAAAATTCAACAGTTTTCCCTGATCTCAGCCTTTTACACCGACTTAAAACTCACCTTAAAATGTCAGTAATAAAGTGAACAAGATCTAAATTATGAACTCCACAGTTAAAAGCACCAAGAATGCTGAATGTTGTGATGCTGAGCACTGCAGTGCTACTCTTGAGTGCTCTGCTGTTACCTGGGGTATAACAACATGCTCTCCAGAGTGATGTAGAGATCAGGCTGCCAGCCAAAGTCAAAATCCCTAGACATCCTCAGAACAGGGAAATGTAAGAGCAGTAAGAGTTAAAGGCAGGTGAAAAGTCCCAGTCTTGGCATTTACCTCTCTGGGCCTCTTTTGTCTCAGGATCCTCAGCCTTGAACTTTCTGTAATGTTTAGACACCTAAGTCTGGTGTTTCTGGTTCCCTGCAGTTATTTCACACTGCAGGACTGAATAACAATTGAATTTAATAACAAATACTGGTTGAATTCAAACCAGTGTTCTAACAAACAGTATTCATAAACTGCAATAGTTTGGATAGGAAAGGCAGAGAGACCCAGTGACCCCGTGAATTTGTCCCTTGAATTTGAATGTTATAGCTGAGGTGAATGGAAACACATGTGTGTATGGGAACATCCTCCTCTCCAGATTTGTGTGTCTGGATTTTTGGGATGCTGAGAGGCTGTGTGAGGGGGAAGGCAGCTCAAGCTGTAGGAGAGAGACTGCACTCATGGCATCAGCCTCATTTATGGTGCAAGATGCATTGACTGTGCTACGGTGACCTTGTGGGAGCCTGCCCAGGCTGTGCAAGAGCAGACTAGCCAACTGGGAGATTTTAGTGACATTAAGAACAACTCATAATATTTGCTGATATGTTTGTGAGGCCTTATATAAAGGATAAAGCCTATATCATATGGCAGGCTGGATAAAATGAAGGAATCACTAGTTGATGTAATATGGATCGTGGTCAGAGGTTGCTCAGGCAAGTTTATTACCAGTCCTAGGATCATGGTCAGAGGATGCTCAGGCAAGTTTATTATCACTCCTTTGAGCTGCAAAATAGTTAAGGCAAAATAGATCAGTATTTCTGATTAAATTTGAATATCTCACCAGCATTTGGCAGTGGTTGGTGCCCTCAAAAGCATTTAAATATCTCAAAAGCCAACAGAGCATAAGCCTAACAGATGGCAAGGCTTGCTTGGGCTGAAAAAGGCTAAGGAGGATGTTGACATTTCTGTTTCCCAGATGGAAATGCACACTGCAAGTCAAATGAGTGCTAGGAACTGCACAATGCACTCACCAGAGCTCAAAGCAGATATCCCACTGTTGTTTGCTAAGACCTTCTCTTACAGTACTCCTCAGTTTGCTTCCTCTGGCAAAGCCATTTGCAATTTCAAAACTTTCAAACCACACTCAAATATATGGTGAGCAAACCCAGGTGGGGAAATAATTGTGAACATCCATGCCAATTTTGTTCTCTAAAACCCTGAGTTATTGCCTTAGGAAAGCGCTCAGTGCTGCTGCACTGTGCACTTCAGCTGCTTCACCTTGCCTGAGGAAATTAATTCTGTAATGCAGAAGTTTGGCACCCTGTGAGGAGACACACCTTAGCAACAGCCTGTGTTGATGCTGAGGATCCCCAGCCCTTGGTAAGGACTCTTGTGTGAACATGCAGCTGACACAGAAATCAAACATTACCGCCTTCACAGCACTGCCATCAGCCCAGGCCAGGGGCAGCAGGCTTTGCTGACAGCACTGCACAATTGCTCAATGAAGCCTCTGCCTGTGTGTGTTTGTGGATGCTGACTGAGCTGTCACCAAAGCAATTGTTACAATTAAGGATTTACATCATTCCATAAATTTTCCCAGCAGGTTTAGGGAACCATTATTATTTTCCAGCTGTTTTTTTTGAAGCTGACAGGGTGTAACGCTGCCCTTCTTCACAAGGTAGGAGCCCTCACATCAGCAGTGAGGCTGACGTCAGTCCCAGCTCTCAGGACAGCGTGTGACAGGGTTGATGACAGCAGTGGGACTGGCCTGTGCTGTAGCTCTCTTTTCACTGCTCTTTACCAGCACAGACATGGAAAGGGGAGAAAGGCAGAAGTGGCTTAAAGTGCAGAGCCACATGAAGGGGTTCAGTCTACACAAAAATGTGGTTCCATGCAGCTTGTTGAATGACTCAACATCTTGTAGCATTCTTTCCTGCAGGAGAAATGTGTGGTTTTGTTAAATACTTCAGGAAAAGAAATGTGTTGAAGCTTATCTCCCCCTTCTGGAAACTCTACAAATCCCATTAAGTTTGCAGTATACAGAAGCTATGTCTGGAACATTTGTTATTTCTATTTTGAATTCTTGAGGACATATCACATCCTTTATTTTACAGTGCTTTCAATTCTAGAATGATGAAAAGCAATGTATGGTTTTACATTAAAGCAATATGAGGTGGTTTACACTGGGTAGCCAAGAACTTTCCTTCTGTTGCTATATTGACAATATTCAGTCTGGCAATGCCAGGTTTTCTGGAAAAATCCAAAATCCTCTATTGTTCAGAAGGATTTTGTGTCCTTACCTTGACTTCTGTTAAAGTGAAATCTGTGACCTGATGCCCAGCTGATACTTTATCACACGCTGCATCAGGATTCTGCTGTGGCATTAGGCGGTTTCTTGCAGACACAGCTACGAGTGCCGAGCAAACACCTGAGGACGTGGAAGGGAACCGCCTGGGGCTCCGGGAGAGCCCGGGAGGAGAGCCGGGAGGGGCTCCGGGAGAGCCCGGGAGGAGAACCCGGAGGGGCTCCGGGAGAGCCCGGGAGGAGAACCCGGAGGGGCTCCGGGAGAGCCCGGGAGGAGAGCCCGGAGGGGCTCCGGGAGAGCCCGGGAGGAGAGCCGGGAGGGGCTCCGGGAGAGCCGGGCATGGCCCCGCAGCGCTGCCGTCGCCCGGCTCGGCTCGGCTCGGCTCGGCTTGGTTCGGCTCGGCTTGGTTAGGCTCGGCTGGGCCGGGCTGGGCTCGGCTCGGCCGGGCTGGGCTCGGCTCGGCTGGGCTGGGCTCGGCTTGGTTCGGCTCAGCTGGGCCGGGCTGGGCTCGGCTCGGCCGGGCTGGGCTCGGCGCGGCCGGGGGCTCCGGCGCGGCACGGGGAAAGCGCGGCGGGGCCGGCCCGAGGGGCGGGAGCCCCCGGCCCCGTGCCAATGGCTGCGGGGGGGTGGCTCTGCCTGGCCGTCTCGCTCGGTTACAGGATGGAAATTCCCGGCCTCCCCGGGGAGGGAGCTCGGGCTGCGCGCTCTGAAAGGCTCATTTATCGCCGCCAGAGCTGCCGCCCGGAGCGGCGGACCCGGGCTCCTGCCGCAGCCGGCCCGGCGCATCCCCGCCCCGCACCATGCCCCGCGCCCCGGCCGCCGCCCCGCTGCTGCTGCTGCTGGCGCTGCTGCTGGCGGCGGCCCCGCCGCACGGCGGCTCCGACAGCCCCAGGGGGAAGCAGAAGGCGCTCCGCCAGCGGGAGGTGCTGGACGTGGTGAGAGCGGCGGGGCCGGGCCCGGGAGCGGGGCGGGCGGAGGTGTTGGGGGAGCCGTGCGGGCGGAGGGCGGCTGGAGGAGCCACGCAGCCGCTTTGTTATTGCAAAGATAGGGAAAAAGCGGTAGATCAGAGGCTTTCGAAAAACCTCGCGGCGCCTCCAGCAGAGCAGCGCCGGTCCCGCGCTGCGGGCATCTCTCGGTTCGGTTAATTATGCCCTTGTTGTGCTGAATCAGGAAAAGGCGGAGAAGGGCTGGACGGGCTTTGACACAAACCGCAGGCTTTCGGCCCGGTGTTTGAGCGCTTTCCATCGGGCCGGGGTCGGGGATGGCGGCTGGAGCCGGCGGAGCCCGCGCTCCCCGCCGTGCCCGGTGCCGGGGGACATCGCGGCGGGAGCCGAGGCAGCGCCGCGGGCTGCGGCAGCGCCGAAATCTCACAGCCCTTCCAACATAAGTAGTAAACGCTGCTTAGTTCCTTCCAACACAAGCAGTTAACTGCAGTTTATCTCCTAAAATGCTAGTGGATAAATGTGAGTGATGAGAAAAACTATCTACATGCTCTGAAAACTATCTGCATGCTTACCGAACACATTTTCCTTGGAGTCGCATGAATGCATTATTTCCTTTGGCGGCAGGGACTGCACACCACTGTTTGCAATTCCACTGCTACTAGAAACCTGAATTCTTGGGACTATCCCATCTCAGGGATAGATGATGACAGGAGGGAAATTTTCCAGTCCTTGGAATGTAGAAAGCAGATGTGAAGGTATTTCTGTGAGTTGCTGGACTGCCGTTCACCGTCTATAGAAAATCACTCATATGACCATTTCTTCCATGATCTCCAGAGATCCCCTTAAGTGATGTGCTGGAGGCACCACTGCTAGCAAAGCTCCTTTTAGTTCACACTGCTTTATTGCCTTTTCACTTTTATTGTGGAAATTGAATTGCATTGAGAATAAGGAGTCTGTACACATGGATGGGCTAACATTTTCCTAAAAAGTATTTTAGGGTCCCTCATTTCTTTGAAATTGCTCAGTGCTTTTTGGACGCAGCAAAGTGCAGGTAAATCAATGGCAGCTGAGTCGTGCACAGCCCAGCTGTACAGACTGCTTCAGCAGAAGCCCTGCTAGGGTAGAGTGGAGGCAGGACCAAGAGGGGATCCTGCCTTCTGTGGATGTTTAAAGTATGTTTTATGCATTTCCAGCTTAAGAAAACATGAAAAAGACTTGACTTGGCAAGACAGATAATTTTAGTTGGAGTAGAGCCCAAAGCCCAGGTGACTCTTGTGCTCCCATTTATTTTTTGGGATGTTTCATGGCTGAGGTGCTCTCCCTGTCTGGCTGTGGGTGGCAGCTCCTGTGTGAAGGCAGATCAGCCCCTCTTGGTGTTTCTGGGGATGGGGGGCAATAGGCCAGAGCTCTGGTCTGACCCAGCTCTTGCCTGTTTCCACATCCGGATTTCTGTGGTGAGTAACCACATGCAAAACCCAGAGCCTGTCGCTGGGAAAGCAAAACCAGATTAAGTGTTGCTGTGTGAAATAGAAATATCTTTTCATTGTTCTCCTGGGTTGGTGTGTGCTTTGCCAACCAGTCTTCTTTTCAACTAACTTTTCTAAAATATGGTTTTCTTCATGAAACTATTCCAACATTTCCACTGCCTTTAGCCAGCAGGATTTTCTTTGATGAAGGTAGTAAGGGAAAGCTAGCAAACCCTCATCTGACTTCATGCTAGACCTCTCCATAGAGTAACTGATTTTACTTTTTGTGTGGCTCCAGCTAAGCCTGTGATGGCTCTGCTGGTTTTTGCACCAGAGCCTGTGAAAAGGCACAGCCTCAGTGCAGAAAATTCACCAGTCTGACAAAGAAATGAGGGTGAGGGCTGTAGTTTACAGCTCCTGCAGTGCAGACAGGGGCATGGCTGGCATGAGGGGGAATAGCTGCAGCACTGCTTCTTTTTGAAACCAGCGGGCATTAGGTGGTTTAAACTAGATAAAGACAAAGAAATGTGAGAAAGTGGAAGAGCAGAATACAGCTATCTGTGAGGATTTGGGATGAAGACTGGAGGAAGCAGTCAGTCACCAGATGGAACAGAGCACATGAAATAAAAGCCATGGCCAGCCCCTGCAGGTTCCTGCTCAGCATTCCCATGCCCAGTGCTCCTCCTGCATCCCAGCACTCAGGCTGCTGGGGGAGGGAGCTCTGGGCTTCACAAACCTACTCTCCAAGGTGGGCAGCCCCAGGTCTCAGGAGGTGAAAAGGCAATGTGTGTTAACATGGAGCTTGGGAGAGCAACATTTGACCTTTCCTAATACTGTGATGTTAGGAAGGCTGTTAGTGTGCCCTCCTCCCACGTGTACCTTCCTACTGTTACAAACAAGAATCCTGAGTTCAGCTTTATTCCAGGGCGCAGCTTCCCACATCCATATTACCATCCATTTGTGTCAGTATTGGAGTCTGAATTGTGGGGCTTGATTATCACTGTGTGGTTGTCACCTCCTCATCAGAGGAGCAGTGACAGGAGAACAGTGGCATTAACCTTTGCTCTCTATAAAATTGAAAATCTTTCAAAATAAATAAAAAAGGAAAAATAATACTGAACACATATTAGCATAGACAATTATACAAGTAATGGTAGGTTAGGAGAAAGTAACAACGTGTGACTTCTTTTTTTTGTTTCTATATTGAAATATTTTGACTCTTGTGAGGTTTTCCAACAGATTTTAATTCTTGGACTAGGTAAATTTTAAATTCTAGGATTTATGCATCTTTTTGTTAAAAAAAAAGGCATCTTATTTTACAGCAAATTCTGCTGGCTCTGCTTATCTTTGAAAATTTATTCCTTTTTTTTTTTTTTTTCCTTCTGTGGAATAATTTTCTTGGAGATGCAGAAACAGCCCATTGTGGCGCAGCAGGGGGGTTTGTGTTTTGTTGTTATTCACTTGTGCTTGACTCGATTAGCCTCGGAGATAAGGGATGGAAGCAGCAAGATCTGTTCTGTCTTCCAGTATAATGGCATGTGCTTACAAGGCCCCAGTGGCGTTCCTGGACGGGATGGAAACCCGGGAGCCAACGGGATCCCTGGGACACCTGGAATCCCAGGACGGGATGGGCTGAAAGGGGAGAAGGGCGAGTGCATGCGGGAGAGCATCGAGGAGTCCTGGACGCCCAACTTCAAGCAGTGTTCGTGGAGCGCGCTGAACTACGGCATCGACCTTGGGAAGATCGCGGTAAGCCGGCTCTGCGCGGCGGGGCTGCAGCAGCCACAGCGGGCTCCGTCTGCCTCGGGGAGCAGCACCAGCCTCACAGATTCCCTGCTGGGGCCTTTCTCTGCATGCAAGGGTGAACTCCTCAAAGGCTTCACTACTTTGGATTGCTTCCAGCTGTGTTTCAGCTATGTGCCTGTTTCATTCCTGGAATAGGGTTTCGGAAGAATTTTGTAGCCTGTGTAAGAGTACATTTAGTAGACCAGATCTGTAACTCTAAGGCTGAAAGTCACAGTACCAAAAAAATACCTCTAGCTTGCCCAAAACAGGGCAAAGTTTTCACCATTTCAATCCTAAAAAGGGACTAACATCTTTAATCTGTTAATCGTACCCATTGTTATAACTCTTACTTCATAGTGGTTATTCACTGAAACTCAGTTGCAGGATGCTACTGCAAAGGATCAGCTTTGCTCAGGAGCAGAATTGCCAGTGTCACCCAGACTGACACAGACAATCCGTCTTCCACGGCAGCCCTGGGTGTAAAACTTTTAGAAAAAATCCCTGCTCAATCCCAGCTATAAAGCAAAGCCCAGAGTGATTATAGCAGTTTAGCTGCTGTGCTATGGCTAGCAGGAGAATCAACTTTTTCAGCAAACTTTTCTTACTGCCTACCTTGTACTTACAGAACTGTCCATAGCTTTTTAAATTTATTTTCTTTTTTATTTTTTTCCATGATATCAAGCATTTTGAAGACAGGTTAACAACCACTTAAAAACCTGAAAGTTTATTTTTCAGTTGTGTAGCTTTTATTTCGTGCAAACTGCTCAGAAGTCTTGTGATAATTGATAAGTCCAGGATTTCTGTTAGCAGAGACAGAAACTGCTCTCTTGTCAAGCAAGGACTTCGGGGTTTGACTAGATGATCTTCAGAGGTCCCTTCCAATCCTTATGATTGTGTGATCCTGTAGCTTGAGTGCAGCTTTCAGAGAGTTCCCTTTACATAAATCCCAGAAGGTAACTAGGCTACCAACTTAACAGCAGGTGTTATCAAAAGAAAGAATTTCCATAATCCGTTTCTCCTTCACCATCTATGAGGTGCTGTTCCGATTTCATCTTTGCACCACAAGGGATTTTACGGGCTCTGATTTTTTCACTTTTTTTTTTTTTTTCCCCAGAGGGGGCTCAAGAGAATAGCCAAAACATTTTGAAATAAATATATTCCTCAATCTGTGTGCTAAATATAAACATATAGAAAATAATTAGGCTCAAAGCCAAGATTTGTGCCACAGCGCCTTTGTCTCCCGTCAGGAATGCACGTTCACCAAGATGCGCTCCAACAGCGCGCTCCGCGTGCTCTTCAGCGGCTCCCTCCGGCTCAAGTGCAGGAGCGCCTGCTGCCAGCGCTGGTACTTCACCTTCAACGGGGCAGAGTGTGCTGGCCCACTGCCCATTGAAGCCATAATATACTTAGATCAAGGAAGCCCAGAGCTGAACTCTACTATTAACATACACAGAACTTCCTCAGGTGCGTATGCCGGGAGAGCAGAGACGGAGCAGAAGGCAGCTGTGGTTACCAAATGCAGAGTGGCCAACTCACACTTCTTCTCTTACTCTGCTCTCTCAGAGTTGACTATTGATAAGTAACAGTATAATAATTATTTATTAAGTGGTACTTTCTTGCTGTGGTATTTTTTGTGGTACTTATATCCTGAGATTTAGAAATGGAAGAGATTTCTGTCCAGACAGGTCTACTGATCTCTGCCACAACATGATTACAGAGACATTCTGTGCTGTATTAGTCTATGGAGAAACAGCCTTACTGCCAAGTAAACAGGGTCATCCTGGCTTAAAATACTGGTATTTGCACATTATCTGTGCAAAAATGAGACTTTTCTCCTGCAATTTCTACTCTGATTTCAGGTGGGGCTAGAAAGTATCTCTAAAGGAAATATCTGGGAGCAATTATTCATTTGCTTAGCAGAGACAAATTAGTGATTTCATTCAACATAAAAGGATGCGACACTAAGAAAAAGAATATAAAGTCTGTATCCTTTCTCCATTTTCCTCCCTGTAATGCATGACTACATGGAATCGAATGTCTAAAGCTATTATAGGATTTTTTCAGCATAGGGGTAGAGCTGACTCATCTTCATCACCCCACCTCCAACTAGTGGTGCCAGTGGGGCATCAGGAGTGCAACTTCAGGCAGAAGCAGTGACTCTCATGTGGAAAAGCTTACAGAGTGGTCATCACCCTGTAAACCTTAGCTGTAAACCAGGCATGGCTGGGCCCCCTCTCCCACCACTGCTAGAACGATGCTTGAAAAGGTATGGAGCCATATTCCAGCTCCCCATGTGTAAATCCGGGTATTTAAAGCTGCAGGCATACCTCCCACTGAGCCACCCCGTGGATGGTGATCTGCTTCAGGTACCGCAGAGTGTCAAACAGCAGCACAGACAGAGGCACTGCATGGCTGTAACTGATGTTGCCACATCTCTACATCAGAGTTTTTATTTCTGAAATGGTTTTAAAATTCTAAAAACTGTTCACATTTAACTAAATAGCAACAAGCTGCTGTTCTTAAGTATGTAAGTTCACCTTCAGTTGTGAAATACACAGGGATTGTGTCTGCTGAGATAACCTGATTTTTGTCTCTAACCAGTGGAAGGTCTGTGTGAAGGGATCAATGCTGGCTTGGTGGATATTGCCATCTGGGTTGGGACGTGCTCAGATTATCCACGGGGAGATGCTTCTACTGGATGGAATTCAGTCTCCCGAATCATCATTGAAGAACTGCCAAAATAACTTCCCTCCCTTTTTATAATACCTGTTTTTTTAAAAAAATCTGTACTATTTTTTTCAGAATTTATTTCAATAGAATTGGATGCAAGTACTGTACTGAAAGGCACTAAAGCCTTGCATCTGTAGCCTTTACCTTGTTTTGTACATGGCAGAGGCTTTTTATAATAATCATTTTAGAATACAAATATCAAAACCAAATTCACTAATATTTTAAATTTCTTTTTTGATGTAATAGCACCACTGTTTTTAGAAGTAACCATAACTTTTTGTATCAAATAAATAAGACCTTTTACAAAAAAAAAAATCCAGGTGATTTTATTGAACATTCATCTGTTTAAGGTATTTTACATGGTGTTATGATACATGATTTTTTTAGAAGGCTTTATAGATAAAGTTCAAAGAAAGTAAAATCAGGTGTTTGCTTTAGCCTTCAGAAAACATAGGTAAAATGCAGTCCTGTAAACCTGAATGCAGAATAGGATGCTCCGCTGTTACAGCCTTGTCTCAACAAACTCCTGGTGATTTAACTGTGACCTAGACAATGTGGTAAGTGTTAAATACCTCATTATGAATAACTGAGCAAAACCAGACTAGGTAAGTGTTAAATACCTCATTATGAATAACTGAGCAAAACCAGACTATCTAAGCTCTTCTTCCTTCTCTTGCTTCTCAACAGACTGGCTTTCAGTGATACCTATGACTGCTCTCCACTACTAAGATGCAGACACTAAATAATTTTAGTTACAACACTTACATTTCATTGCTCCAATAAAATAATTCTCCTGGATTTAGCCTTTCAGATGTACAGAATCACTTTGATGTTGGTTAAAAGCTAGATATATTAAACAGTTTAGAAGATACAGAAATAAGACAGGTTGAAATGCCTAGGCTTTCCAAAAGGGAACTGGTAAAGTGAAACAATGATGTCACAGCTGTCTGAAAGTGACAATACCGATCATGCCAACAGACTATAAACTTCAGTGTTTTAAGTTTTGCCTTCCAAATGCTGCAAGTGACATACTCAAATTTTTTTTTACTTGTACACATTCTAAAGAGAAACAACAGTCATGTTTGTATCACAAAACAAATTTCACATTAACAAAATAAAAAAAACACAAAAAGCATGTACAACATGCAAAAATCTCCACTCTTCCCAGAAATTAAAAGGAAAAAAACCCCATTAAATCTGAGATAAATGAACCTATTTCAGCTATTTAGAATTAAATCTCACTTTATTTTCTGAACAAGTTGTATGATTTCCCCCAGGCATCTCTTGGATGTAGCTCTTGCCTGTAGCTGTTGTTGCAGATACCAGGGGAGGACACCTGCAGTGACAGGAGCACTTAGGCTTGCCCAACTGCAAGATGGTGTGTGAGATTTGCTGCACGCCAGCAAGTTACACAGCTGGCATTTTGTCTCTGAAGAACTGCAATGTTTTCACTGGCTTGGACGATGGTTTTAAGGTACCTGAACACAAATAAGTTACTATGAGCTGAGCTGTGGTGTGAACTTACAGAACATCAGCTAACATACAGTGAGTGATTGTGCACATGCTCACAGCCTGTCCTTGCAGTTATCCTGAAGCATGAGTAAGCTGTTCTGGGCACACAGCACACTAATCCAGGGTGGTACCTGCACAGCTTTTTGTCTTTTATGATGTTTTCATGTCTTCACAATATATTTTGGACCCTGGGTGGTAGTTAATTCAGTGTTCCATTAAATTCATTCTGTGTACCAAAAAACACACAAAGCCCAGTAAGCACCCTCCAAAGGCAGGAGCTGCTGTTCTGGATCTGCATAATTGACATGGCAAACTTCCAGTAAATTTATCTTCGGCTAAACACACACAGAAACTGCCATAATAAAAACCAAAGCCAGCCATGAGATGGCCATCTACTGTTGTGAACACAGGCAAACCTGATGGGAAGAGATGAAGATGTCTGACTCAATTCAGAAGGCTGAATGATTTATTATAATTATGCTAAAATACATTATATACTATTTAAAGGAAGATACTAAACTACAAATCTACTTGTTCTAACTGTATCTCTAACACAACTCGTGACCCTCTCATGAGAGTCCAGCCACAGGTGGGTTGGATTGGCCATCAGGCTCAAACAATCCCCACCAGAATCCAATCAACCAATCACTCCAGGTAAACAATTCTCCAAACACATTCCACATGGGAAAAACAAGGAGCAGGAATAGAAATTATTTTCTCTGTCTTTCTGTGCACCTCTATGAAAAATCCTGAGACATAAATGTGCTACCACAATCTCCAGATGAGATGATTCTTTCTGATGAGATTATCAGCTCTATCAGTAGAGGGGATGGGATTGTGGAAGAGAAAGTGTAAATTATTAATAAATTCAGTTATACAAAAAATGTGGTATGTGGCAACAGTACCTACAAAACAAGTAAGTGGATCACTGAATGAAGATTAAAAATACTGAGTAGTTTCTGTGGCTTTCCAGATTTTAACTTAAAATTTAAACCAAGTCCCTAATATTAAAATTTTCTTAAGAGTAGTTCTTTCTACTTCAGGTTAGTCTGGTAAACAGAAAACTTCTCTAAGTGATTATTCTGCTCCCTACGAAACTGATGATTTCCCCCTAACTGTTGGATAGCCTTTGCCAACTTATTTCTGGTTAAATGACACTTACTAGATACTTAATATCTTCTTACCACCAGCAGGAGGCAGATGTTAAGGTCAGTAATGTCTTTTCTAAGTGAAATAAAAAGCCCCAAACCAACAAACCCAGAACTCTCATAAGTACATATCCTTGACGGCAATTACTGGCGTCGGAAAAAAACCCATAATTATTATACAAATTTACTGAGATGTACTATAACTTAATTTATCAGTAAATTAGCAATCAATATATTAACAATCTTTTCCTTAAACCAAATCAGAAGACATTAACAAATAGTTCAGTTTTTTTACAGAAAGCCTTGTGCACAGGATTTTTTTAGACTAGAAACATTTTTTTTCCAGAGAATATCATTGAAAGTAAGTGTGGTCCTATTTGTTAGTACACTGGCTTGAACACTGCATCACTATGGGATTACTAGAAAAAAATCCTCATCTTTAAAATGTAAGCCCACTTTCAAATATGCATTTACTTAGTAATATTTGGTCAGCTGTATCACTAATGGAGACAGATTCTGGCACAGTGAGAGACGGAGAGAGAATGAAAGAGAGAGAAAATTAATTAAGCATCCAGCAATGCATGCACTTTCAGCACGTCAGTCTGCTGCTAAAAACCAAGTCAAAAAACACAGTGCAAGTCTGGCCTGGTACGAGGCAAGAACTGAGCTTCAGCCTTGCAATTATTCAAACTCAGGAATTGACAGCTTTTTTAAAGAAACAATTTCAGTTTCCAAACTGCACCTCACTGAGGCAGCATTTTTGTGTTGGATAAACAATGGAGTCTGGAGCATTCCATATCTTAAAATGTGATGAATAACAGAGGTGGATTCAGATGACATTCCTTGTTTTAATGAGACTCAGAGATTTAAGAAAGCTTTGACAGGCCTCAGGGTTGCTTTCAGATGAAGTTTTTCACTTGTGCAGAAGCAGAATCTCACCAACTGCTATCTTGAGACTTGTGGAAACTGCTTACTGGGGTATTCCAGGCAGGCCAGGCTGAATGGAATTGCTGTGCAGCTGCCTTCACCCAGTCACAGCACTATTATTTCACAGTTGCAGACATCTGCTTCAACCAGTCGCAGCTGATTCAGAGAGGAAGGCAGCAATACAGGAACATTCAACAGCAGAGATGATGGCAGGGTTTCTTGTCTCTATATTCTTTCCTCAGAATACCAGATCAATTCACAGTGTCAAAGAAGACTGCTGAACTAAATTTCTCCCAGATCATAAATATAAAAATTGAAGGATAGATTCCTTCCTAGGAACACAAGTTCATACCTTTAATTATTTTCTTTCCTAAAACCAAGTAAAAAGCCAGACACATTTTCATAAACTACAAAGGTAATACAGCAGGCAGGAGTCACTCGGATTACATTAGCTATAATTCCTTTGTAAAATCCATGAACACCTTCTTTCCTTTAAAGAAAAAAAAAAATTGGTTTTAAAAAATTCTTTTAATAGAAAAAAATCAGACATAAAACAAAACCTGGCATTTTACTTCTCACACTCCCATTGAAACATGAACTTCAGGTTAAAAATAGCAATTTCAGACGGTGTTTAAAGTGCATCAAGTATTAACTCATAATTTTTTCTTCTGAACATATAATAGCATTATGTAAATCAGTTATTTAGCCTAGGCTTTGAGTGGTTTTTGTGGGTATTGTCCAAGTAAGGCAATTTACTATCTTTCTTCATGTTACAAGAACTGGCCAAACAGTTAAGAAAAGCCAGCATTCATCTTATGAGAATTTAAGCATCCCTTCCAGAATTTTGATTCTACTGGCCAATAAATGAGAATCTTATTTGACCCAATTTGAATCAGCGTGTCGTGCTAGGGCTGTTACAAAGTTTCAGGGACATTAAATCTCAGCTCTTTAGGTGCAGGCATCACAGGCCTAGGACACCTGGCAGGATGAGAAAACACAGACCCTAAGAAATGCTTGGGTGTGGTTTACACTACACCCATTTGTTCACCACAAGCACAGCAGTGGCTCCAGAATGGCTGTACTGCACTTCAACAGAACTAGTAAGCTTCCTGTAGCCTGCAGCACCGAAGGGCTCAGCACTGACACATCAGAGCTACTTTTGCTCTGAATTGCCCCCAGGCGGAATGGCTGTACAGCCTCTGAACCAGGGGTGCTCCTGGAACAACAGAGGCTCAGTCCCTTACTCAGCTGGCCCCTCTTCACAGCCCAGGAGCCATTTCCACCTCTCCAGCAACATGGCCCAACCCAGAAGCGCTGCCCAAAGCCGTGGATGCACATGCAAAGGTGGCCACCCTTAGTAACTACATAGGTCTGTGTGAAAAGCTCAGATATGAATAGGTGTGAGGTCACAGGTCTCTAAAGGTCCTACAGGAAGCTGGGACCAGACTACAAGGGCAGTCAGGCCCCAGGGCAACCCAGGGACATCAGTATAATCAGCTCTGGCTAGCTCACTTCACCTTGCCAGGAATTTGGATTAGCCACAACTCCCAGCAGCACAATGCTCCTGTCCTATGTGATAAGCTAAACCAGTTCAAGTGAGATTTCACTTAGTATCCCAAACCAGCCATGAAAATGTTATTTTTTAGAATGTGAATTTTGCTGGAGAGAAGGGAGACAGAATAAACAACAGAAACCTGCAGGGGGCATTGACACTCTCCTGTCTCCTCCTCTCTGCTTAGCTTACTGCTGTTGTTGGCATCTTGCACAATATGACTTTGTACAGCTAACCCTTTGCTTGCTCTGAACTGTACTGGTTCTGCAAGCCAGCACAGAAGCCAGTAAAGGTAGCTCTGATTCTATAAAACTCAGTTTCCAACACGCAGGCTTTTAATTTTGCACACCTACCTCCATGTCCTGCGGATCACATCCAACACCCCAGAATATGTGTTATGCTGGTCTTGAAGACGAGCTCGCACAACTTGATAGGGATATGTTGCTACCACAGCAAATATTTTGGATACAGCTGCCATCAGTATGTATTCCACAGTGTTCTAAAAGCAACACAAATTGTCAGGTTTGCCTTAGGTATGGTTTAAATTAGCCAGCTCCCAAAATCTTACTTAATTTTTAAATGTACAACCAAACAATACTCTAGATATTCCCCCCTTATAAAACAACACATTAAAAGAAATGTCAGTGTTTACTACATGCAGTGCTACAAGTAATTGACTGTATAACATGTGTTGTGCCTTCCCATTCCCACCAAGAGGAACACTTCTTCCAAAAGTATCTACCTTTGTCCAACTTGCACGCGAACAGTTTTCCAGGGTTTAATACCACCCCCTCTGACTCCACAAAGTAAGAAAAAACCCTCATTCCTTCCTCTAAAATTCCAAAACCACTTGCCAAAATAAGAAGTTGGTTTTCAAAACCAGTGAAAACCAGTTGCTTGTTCCAAAAAAGTGAGAAAGTATTATTTCCTTCTATATATTCTGCACTTCAATTAATGTACCAATACTTTGTACATTTGGCTGCTGTATAACCTGACAAATGGAATCAACTTCTATTTATTTACATGCCATAACATAATTTTATTCTCAAGCATCCTACCAATTTTGTATCTGATACTCTGTTTCTGTACTTGTTGTATCTCTCTTTCAAATCCTCATAGGCCATGAACTGAAGTGCTCCATGAGATGTTCCGAACAGACCAGGCACAAATCCCTAAAAAAACGATAAAACAAGGATAAAGGGTAATGCACAAAACCTAAACAACTTGACAGAGCACAGCTCACACACCTACATTTGTCCTCCCTTAATGTACAGACTGTGCCTGCACAGCAGCTGCAGTCTGACTCAGGTATTCTTAAGGGCAGGCATCCCACAAACACTTAACAAATACTACTTTTCTGGCATACAGCCCGAAGTCACCTACTGAGTCACTGAGATAAAAGAAGTGGCCCAGGGACTGCACCTCACAGAGCACAAGCTGGTAACACAGATTAGGATTGCAAGATCACAAATCAAGCTGTGGTCTTGCAAACATGCTGCTCAATGCACATTTCCAGAGACTGGCACTGAGGGGTCTGGTTCCCACCTGAGACTGGTAAAGCAATGACAGGTGCTGGCAATGCAGAGAAGAGCCATCAGGAGCAGAGGTACAAAACATTATTGTGATTGAGCCCAGGAAATAGATATGTGTTTGCATGTGTGTGTCTACATAAATACGTGTCTTTGAGATATATGTATGTATTTCTATACTAAAAATGTTTGTGTCTATGTAGAATCATAGAATCATTTTTGTTGGAAAAGATCTTTAGGATTATCAAATCTAACCATAAACCTGAGACTGCCATGCCCACCACTATACCATGTCCTTGTGGGAGAAGAGATCGAGCTGCTCCAGCACTGTCTTTCTTACACACACAAACACATGAAAATATACATCAACCTTTAGCTTCAAAAAATTTGAAATGAAGGGGGAAAACAGGTACTTTCTGAACTGTCTCCACAAGAAAGAGAAGGGAGAAGGCAGGAGTTCCCTCAGGAGCAG